ACCCAATTATAAAATGGGCACAGGAGCTGAACAGGCATTTCTCAAAGGAAGGTATATGAATGGCAGAGACATGAAAAAAAGCTTAATATCACTCAGCATCAGGGAAATACAAATCAAAACCACACTGAGATATCAACTCACCCCAGTTAGAATGACTATTATCAAAAAGAGAATAACAAATGCTGGAGAGGATGCAGAGAAAGGGAAACCCTCCTACACTGTTGGTATGACTGCAAATTAGTACAGCCATTATGGAAAACGGTCTTGAGCTTCCTCAGACAACTACAATTAGAACTGCCATACGATCCAGCAATCCCACCACTGGATATATACCCAAAGGAATGAAAATCATCATGTCAAAGGGATACCTGCACTCCCATGTTCATCACAACTCTGTTGACGATAGCCAAGAGTTGTAAACACTCTAACTGTCCATCATTAAACTACTGGTTAAAGAAAATGTTGTATATTTGCACAGAGGAATACTACACTGCCATAAAAAAGAATGAAATGCTGCCATTTGCAGCAACATGAATGAACTTAGAGAAAATAATGTTAAGTGAAATAATTCAGGCACAGAAAGAGAAATATCTCATGTCTTCACTTATAAGTGAGAACTAAAAAAAAGAAAAAGAAAAAAAGATACAACAATCACAGTAATAACTGAACATTCAAAAGGAGAAAATAGAACTGAGATTACCAGAGGTGGGAAAGGTGGAGCAGGAGAGGGGTAAGGGAGGACTTGGTAAGGGCCCTGAAAAGCACTTACCGTGTATAATGTTGAGTATACTAATTTTCCTGATTTGAGCATCACGTATTGCACACAGGTACGGAGATTCAACTCTGTACCCTACAGATATGTACGATCAACTATGTTTCAATAAAATATAAAAGCAACTAAAATGAAAAGAATAAATCTAATCAGTTATTAAGAACATAGAGATCAAAACCAGGGTAATATTAATATTAAAAAATCTATTAAAAGAATCACTTTTATATATTATTTCTCCATTTAATTTACTGTGACTAATATCTGTTCTTCACCATCTCCTTGCACTACCCCTTCCTTTTTTTCCCTTTCCTATTCTACACTCATCAAAGCTGCGCCCACCCTACCCCCACTCCCACACTCTTCAGGACTCACACTTGCCTTCCTCCAGTCCCTCATCTCTGTGTGGTTCCTGCCCCACCACCTGCACTGACATTTCCTAGCCTTTACAGGATGAGGTTTCCAAAGTCGCAACTAGGTAATTGGAAAGGATTTGCAGGCCTCTTATCTCTTGATTGATTGATTCATTCATTCGGTAAACATTTATTGAGCACCTACTTATGCCAAACACTATCAATTACTGGGGATACCAAGACAAGACTGCGTCTGTGTCCTCGTGGAGTATAGAACTCCGTGGGTTGTTAAGGAGCAGAATGCAAAGCAGACTTCCTTGAGCAGGTGATACGTGAACTGCATTTTGATGGGTGAATGGAAGTTAGTTATCTACAGAGTGGTAAAGACAATGGACATTCCGTGTGGAGAGGTGGACAGACTGAAAAGTACAAAGGCATAAAACAGTTTCGTCAGTTCAAAGAATGGCAAGTAAAACAAGTACAGCTAGAACAAAAGTTGCTGAAGTGGGAATATCAAATAAGAAAGGGCCGAGTCATGATGGGTCTTGGGTGCTTAGGCAGGGGACTTTATCCTTAAAGAAAAAGGGATCCATTGGATATTTGTTAACAAGAGAATTGCATAGTTTATGTTGAAGAATGTCAGATTACTCAGGCAGCAGAATGGAAGAGAATAATTTGGATGGGGTCCATAAGTAGTGGGAGGTTGGTAATTCAGGAGGCTACAGCAGTAACCCAGAGAAATGAAAAGTGCAGAAACAGAGGCTATGGGCATCAGAATAGAGACAGGAAGACAGATTTAATAAGTGTTAAAGAGTTAACTCACGTGCCAGATGAGGAATAGAATGGTTAAGATAACTTCCAAGAGACAATGTGCAGGGTGGAAGAGGAGCTAGTTTCAAGGTAATGGTTCAGGGTTGGATATTTCGAGAGGGAGGTGTCCATGGGACATATGAAAGGCAATGTCCACTAGAAAGTTGGATGCACTAGTAGGAGCTCAGAGGAGCCATGGGTGAGGCCGCGTGGGTGAATCAGGCCTGCCTGGCAGGAGTATCAAGAGAGACTGGCAGAGAATTGATGATGAGCCCCTAGGGAAAAGGGAAATTTAAAGGGCGACTGGAGGAACAGGAGTCCACAAAGAGAATGAAAAGCAGAGCAGGTGGAAGAAACCCAGCAGCATGTGTCAACACGGAGAAGGCTTGGAAGGCAGTGACACTGCCAAAGAGGGATTTGAACATGATGAAAGGAGCATAACGAAAAATACAGGGGGGGAAAGTAGAAGCTCAAGTCCACACTTACTTGCTAGAACTGTGGGGGAAAGTGGAAGCAGCACTATAGCTAGGCAGTGTGTGTGGTTTTTGCTTTATAATATAGAATTTGGCTTATTAAAATTATTTAAGTAAAACAGAGATCAAGTGGGAAAAAGTATTCCACAGAGAGGGAAATGTTTGGCCATGTCCAAATCTGCCTATTGGTCAGATAAATGAGGACTGAAAATGTGCATCATCTTTGGAACATGCAGTCACCAGCAAAGTTAGCAAGAGTCGATTCAGTGTGGTGAGGAGGACCACAGCAGGATGTAGGGCTGCAAGGAGAGAATGAGTGGTGGAGAAATAATCAGTGTAGATACTTTCCTCTAGACACTTGACTGTCAAGTGAAGGAGAAAGCATAGCAAGTATGAGAGAGCAATACTGGGATCATCAACAGTCTCAGGCAAGGGTTGTTTTTTGTTTTAACAGTGGGTGTGTTACTGAATAGATCAGTCTTTTCTGTTTTCGTTCACAGTTTCAAAAGTTGCTTATAAGGTTGTTCTCGCTTGAATATCAGGACAGATTATACTACGTTGGATTTTTTCTGTTGCTTTATTTTTTAATATGAAAATTTTAATCCATCTGGAATTTATTTTGGTGTCAAAAGTGATGGCCCCACACCAATTTTTCCAATGATTTAGCTATTTGTTCCAATACTTGAATCCACTGATTTGAAGTATCACTTTTATAATATACCAAATTCCATGAATATTTGCATCTCTTCCTAAAATCCATTCTGTATAATTCATAGTTTATTCATGCACTAGTTAAACTATTTCAATTACCGTAGCATTATAATATACATCACTGTTTCCTAGAGCTGATCGTATTGTATTTCTTTTTCATAATGTCCCTAATACTGTCAGTGCAAACACCCCTCCTCATTATTTTACCTGTCTATTTATTTATATTTCTTGGAGAACTTTAGCATTACCTTTCAGCTTTTTTTCTTAAATCCATGGGATTTAACAACAATTCGCATTAGAATTCTAAATTATTTTGTCAAAAAAATTAGATATGTCCCCAAATTTGAGTCTGCCCAGTCAAGAATATGGCACATCCTATCATTCATTCATTATTTTTTTAAGTCAATTATCATTTCTTAACATTTCCTGTTAATTTATTCCTAAGTAGTCTGTGCTTTTGTTGTTATTATAAATTATATCTTCTCTCTTTTGGATTTTTAACTGGTTTTGTTGCTAATAAAAATCCTTATTTCTGGCTTATCTTGAACAATCAGGAGATCTGGCAACAGTGGGCCTATACCAACGTGGTGACTGTGAGCTGTCCCTTTCAGTAGGAAATGTACTTGCCCATTACCACAGTTGACTCTGACCCACTCCACACATTTCTGTTACTTGCCTGGCCCCTGTAGACTGTGAATTTATTTAGGGTTAGGTGAGTTGTCAACACAGACGTTGACATCACTGCTGCTTGCTCTTGCTGCTGACTCCGTGACACCACCAACTCTGGTGTCCCTGCCTGGCTGACTTCTCTGAATATGACTGCTCCTACCTGGCCTGTGGAACTTTCCAGATCCTTCCACCTTGCCTTCCTTTCTGCAGCATGCCCTTAGCCCCTCAGAACAAAGCAAATGCCAGCTCCTCCTACCTACCCACACCCTTCACACCCTTGCCCTTCCTGGCCGAGTCATACCTTCCCCTTATCTAAGCAATAGGCCTAAAGTGGCTGTAAATTTTCCTCTTATCCCCAGTCTTGGTTACATACCTGCACGTTTCCTCTAAAGATCTGCCAGTGAGGAGGGAAGAGTCTAAAACTGAAAGGTTTCTTTAGATCTTCGGCATTATCATTTATTACTTCTGCCTGTGCTATAGCTTACCTAAAATCTGCGCTGACCCATCTATAGTGAGGCACGTAAATTACAGACAAGGAGAAAAGAACTTCTAAGCCACCACTTGAATCTTGACTTGCTGTGACCACATGGATTGCAGCAACTTCAAGATAAAGATTCCCAAAGAATGATTATGCTATGACTTAAGACACTTTTATCACAGTATTTCTGTGATTTGTAATCACATCATGAATTCTCCGGATATGCTGTATTTGTATCTCAGCCTCGGGAGCTCACTCATTTTGTTTGTTTAGCGTATTTCCTCCAACATTCTCCTAGCATAGCTTTCCCAAAGGTACATTTCTTATTTATTTTTTACTTGTTAGATACTTCCACAATTTTTTTTTAATCTTTAGTCATGAATCATCTTCCAACATTCTATTATTTCAACACTGAGAATGACTAATATGCTTAGACTGTCTCAAGTTTATTACCAGTGAGTAATTCTGGTTGATTAAAGATTTTTAAATATATTGTTCCTATTAAGTGTATACATCTGAAAGAAACAGGCTTTAATTAGTCTTCTTTCCAGAGATTTCATATTTGTGTTTTGTTTGAATCCTTTTACTGTTGAACCTTAAGTTATTTACCACTGATGTGTTTTCTCTTTGGGATTTAGTTCTTCGTTTGCCTTTCTCTTTCTTTGCAAGAGTAAAGGAAAATATGTTGTCCTTCCATCCATCCACTACTCCATGATGTGTGTCCATTCCATTGACAGTTATTCAGTTTGGGTTCGTCACCTTATTTGTGGCCTCTTTTCCACTGGCCCCTCTGTTGGCTCTGGTGAACAATATATTGGAAATAAGAGTGGACGCATGGAAACTGACTACCCAGTTTAGACGCATGGTGCCAGAAAAAGCCCGGGACATCGGAGCATGGCAGCCCATCATGCAAGGAATAGCAATCCTGGCTGTGGTGACCAATGTGAGTAGACCTAGGCTTCACAGGCTGAAGACCTTGGAAAGCCAAAAGTGCATTAGGGTTGCTACCTAAAAAAATCAAATGTTTGGTATTTTTTTTGAATGAGAGGAAGTTACCAAGACTGTCATCCATATAAACAACACAATTATGTTATATATCTGTTATTCTTTTAAAAATACGATTATGTTTTAATTGTTTGTTTATTATTCTTGACCTATGAAGTCAAGACTTTCTACAGAGGTATAATTGTTGCTTATTTGCTAAAGTTTTTATTCACTAGAAATATGATAATAGTAATGCAGTCATGCACCACATATCAGTGTTTGTCAACAGTGGTCCACATATACATCAGTGATTCCATCAGACGGAGCTGAAAAATTCCTATCCCCTAGTGATGTCACAATGTCTTAGAGCAACATATTACCGTTTCTGTGTTTACATAAACAGATACTTACCATCGTGTTACAGTTGCCTACAGTATTCAATAGAGGACTGTGCTGTGTGGGTTTGTAGCCTAGGAGTGGTAGGCTAAACCATCTAGTTTGTGTCAGTACACTCTATGATGTTTGCACAATGACAAAATCGCCTGATTATGCATTTCTCAGAACATATCCCTGTCATGAAGTGATGCGTAACTATAGTAAGTACTAATACCTTTAATCCTCACATAACTATAAAATGAGTTATCATAAAATGCTTTTATAACATATAGAAATCTGTTCATTTAGAGTCTGAGGACCCTAAAATAATACCATTTTACCGTGTTATACTATTATACATATTCCAAGGGTTCAACTTAAAATATTAACTTCAATGAAGTATAAATGCTTCGTGCCTTCCTAGGTGCGCGTGGCCTTCCTTGTCTCCAGGGCAGCTGTTCTTAAAGGAGGTGGGTTTCATCGCTCTTTGCACCCCACCCCTACGTCTTCGCTGGCCACATTCTGGGCATTGTCTGAAGCAGCCCCATGCTCTGCTCATGTATCCCAAGTGAGAGAGAACAGAACTTAGTTGTTTACAGCCTGTATTAATTGATTATGGACCCTTCTGGACAGCCAATAGGGAGCTCTCAGGAGGAACAATTTTCATATCAGCTCCTCTGAGGACCTCCTTCCCTAGAAATGTCCTTAAAACCAGGGCCATTTCCTCCTATATCTCACTGCCAGATCTGCTTGTTCAACAAAATAATTTCCTGGTTTTAATTTCTTAAGCCACACTTGCCCTGAGTCCGCAGCCTTTTCCCACAAGCACCTGCAGAAACAGAATTTGGCAGTATCCATGTGTCAGGCTCATGGACAAGGGATGTTACTGAATACTGTAGGCTTCAAAGTCAGGTAGACCCGGACTTCAGTTTCCAGCACTGCAGCCCTGAGCTGTGTGAGCTTGGGCCAGCCTTTAACACTTCAGAGCCTCATTTTATCATTTATAGGATGAATAATTCCCTACCACATATTATAGGCGTAGTATGTACCACAAAGAGTGGTTAGGAATTCAGTGAGTGAATGCCTTGAGCCTCGTCCTTATTGAATGTTGGCTGCTGTTATTTTATCATCTTCACTACTCATATCATCACTAATAGTGGCTCTGTGAGGACAGGTACCTCAACTAGAGGCACAAGAATTGCAAAACTGGTCACTGTCCAGACTATGATTACAGTTTTACACAATAAAACAAGTTATCTGGAACCCAGCCATCATGCCCTCACCCCAGAACCCTCAATTTATCTGAATTGCCTGCTCTCCCTACTTTTTAGAGAAAGTTGCAGATCACACACAAAAACCAACTGCTAGGGTATGTCAGCTTCCATTCACCCTAGTAGCCTGTACCTTCCACAGCCACTGTGCTGCAGAAATATAACAGCGAGGCCTTTCAAGTTCCACAGTCATAAAAGAATCAATCTGTCATGTTCAATATGCTATAGTACACTAAGCAGGACAGGAACGTGGATTGTGCTTTAGGAAAATTTCAGCAACAAGGTTTGAAGCTAAAAGGTTTTTGTTTGACCTTCAGCTAACCAGAAAATTCAATTGATTCAAACTCCCCATTCCTCAAGCATTCTGGTCTGATTATAGTAGGCACCTTTCCCCAATATCCATGCCATGGCTCCACTCCATTAGCACAGATGGAGAATTGGCTGTGTTTCCAAGGCTACTCCGTGTGTGTGTGTATGTGTACAGACACACACGCTGACTAATTGGTGCTATTGGTTCTTGTCCAATAGTTGTTTTTTCTTATAATTTATCCTAGAAAACTGCTTATTAAATTTGTGACATTGATCAAACTATGGACAATCCTATTTTCCATGTTACTAGGATTTGTTTCCTAAGATGCAGTATAAATGTATGCAAGCATTAAAGAGTATCTGTTATCCCCTCACTTGTGTAACCTCGACCCCTCCAACACCTAATGTTTATCTCCACGACCTAATGTGTACAAAAGGAAGAAGAGAACAGCCACCAGGGATGAGAGCAGGCATCAAGCAGAAGTTTGGTAAAAATCACTTACTTTAAAGTTGCTGGTTCAATAAATAAGTGGAATTGAGATTGTAATATCATGCCAGAGCATCTGCTATTGAAGACCACTTTTAATTTATTTTTATATAAATGGAAAACTGAGTGCAGAAAAGCACAGGGAATGAAGCACACTGCATTTATTTGTACTCTTGCAGTATGCCTCTCAAAGCCCCTCAGTTCGGGAGGAGAAAGGGTCTTGTCCCAAGACAATTGAATTATCTTCCTTGTTGGAATTTTTGTAGCTTCCTGAAGCACATCTTCAGGTGATTCTATACAAAGATATAAATGAGTTAAATGATAACAGGAAAATTTAATCTATTGAAATCTAGAAAAAGGTAAAATACTCTTGCTTCCTCCCAATACCAACAGGCAGACGTAAACACACATAAGTACAAACACACACAAATTTTTCACAGTAGAGGAAATGACAAAGCTGGGTCTAGTGGGGAAAATTTTGTAATATAAAAGCCCCTTAATTGTTCTTCTTGCTTTGCCTGAGATCTTGTTTGTTGGTTTGTGGTCTCACTGTGTCTAAACCATATGTTCAGATGAATACTATTAAATACCATGTTGAGCTAAAAACATGTCTGTTCTGCTTGGATTAATGACTGAACCACTTTGTTTATGCACATGGAATTTGATTTAACGTATTTTCTCTTCCTTTGGACCAATTTTATACATTGGAAAATTTAAAGCCCAAATTAAAAAATTTTAGAGAAAATTTGTATAATTCATAATAGCTTTATATCCTAATAGATGTCTGCCTGACACAGACACAGGTTTATTATTGACCCATATTTATTCCACTTATCTAGGAATATACTGAACTTTCTGTATACTATTCGATTATTTATAACTTTTATAACTATCCATTTAATCTATTGGAAGTTTAAAGGCTTAGAAACTAGATCTAACAAAGCAGACATTATTGCTTGACTGTATAAATGGGACAACCCCAATATGATATCTTGCTACCCACATTTTATTAATTTTAAAAATTCCTGTTCTCTAATGAAGCAACAAACATAAGTATATACTGAGAGTTTAAAATAAATCAGGCCATGGGTCAACTTGTCTAAACAAGTCAAGATACTATACAGACAAAAAAAGTGTGAATTTGAAGGCCATCATTTACATTTAGATCAAGGAAAATATATTTTATGCAGTTTACATTCTGTTTTTATGAGAAGCAAGTGATAAAAAAATCACTTTTGTATCAGTTATTTATTCTACAAAGGAATTCCATAAAGCCAGATTATTTTCACAATATCGAATCAAATAGAGTTTAAGGTTGACTGAATTTTATTCTAATTTTTTGGAAAATACTAACTTACATATAATATATGCAAGCAACTCTTCAGTTCTTCACAATACCCTAGTCTACAATTATTTTGAATAGATGGGTGTTTACCGTATTTAAAAAACATAATAGGCAGCTATGAGGCCTTTGCATTTGAACTGCAGGTAGACTTCTAGACATTCTCTTAGAATTGAAGACCCAAAGGAAACTAATATTCTACTTTAAAATTGTTGCTCAAGGATCTTAGGGCATGCCTACGTACATTTCACAGTCAAGAAAGAATTACGGTTTCTGAATCTTTAATAGTAGCATACTTCATAAAGTTCATGGAAAAATAGAATTAAAAGATAATACTAATTTTTCCATGAACTTTTTGGAGTATCCTCATATTTTAAAAAAATTTGATGAAAACAGTACTTCTGGCCTCTTTGTTAACCATAGCTATAAAAGCTGTATGTTAATGCACCTTTTCTGTTTTCCTCCCAACACAGGCCATGATCATTGCTTTCACATCAGATATGATCCCCCGCCTGGTGTATTACTGGTCCTTTTCCATCCCTCCCTATGGGGACCACGCTAGCTACACTATGGACGGGTACATCAACAGCACTCTCTCCACCTTCAACGTCATGGACTTCAAAAACAAAAGCAAGGAAAACCCATATTCTGGGCTTGGTAACCATACCACATGCAGGCAAGTTCTGCTTTACCTGTTTAAAAATGCACTTCATCTTTAATAGGGCTTTTCTTATGATGTAATTCAGTTTGGTGTCATTTAAATTAAATCGCTAGAGACTTTTTTCTCATTGATTTCTTTTCAAACTCCCCCAGAATATTAAAGTAAATAAAGACTAGGGTGAGAAGTTTCAAACCAGGCCATAAAGCAGGATTTAAAAGTGAGTTTCAAATGGTTACAGGGATACTGATCCAGGAGAAAAGTTTTATGTCTTAGAAATGGAAAAACTCCAAGAGTTCCAAAAACCAAAATAATTCCTTTGTCAGAACTAATGGGTTGTTCAGTACAACCTGAAGATATTGAATGATAACAAACTAGCACCCTCATTAACAAAGACATATAAAGATAAGAGATGTCAATACCTCAACCTAACAGTATTCTCTAAAAGTATTCCAAAGTTCTCTGCATTGATTTTCATGGCTGGTAAGATCAGCTATGGACAGTATACACCAACTGAAGTACCAGTTGATAAAGTTTATTGCCAGAGCATTTTTTTTTCTCAATCTTAGAGTCTTAAACTTAAAGGAGTCTTTAAAATGTATTTGGTCCAACTCTTCAAAGCCTTCTTGATTCAAATTCTCAGTAATGCAACCAAAAAACCAGAAATAAGCCCAAAATAAAATTTAGAGCTATGATTCTGTCATACAGATAGATTTTTTTTTTTTTACAAAGATGGACTCCATCATTACCTTATTACATATTAAATGAGTTATTACTGGAGTAGTTATCTTGAGGTTTTGTTACCAGTTGAGCTCTAGGAGAAAACTTGCATTGATGTCCAATTTAAAAGAACACTGAATCAAGTATGACCTCTTTTTAAATGAGGCTCTTGTTTACAGTATTTGATCAAAAAGATTTGTTTCCTAATATGTCTGTTTTGTTTACAGGTATCGTGATTTTCGAAACCCACCTGGACATCCACAGGAATACAAGCACAATATCTACTATTGGCACGTGATTGCAGCCAAGCTGGCTTTTGTCATTGTCATGGAGGTAGGAAAAGTATACTTTGAAATAGTTTATAATGCTGTATATTTGCAGTCCTATTAACTAAGTGTTCCTTGACTCTGTACCTAAAATGTATGATACCTTCTTATCTCTTGCTAATAGTTATTTTAGGACATACATCAATCAGGTTTGACCTGAGAATACTCATAATATGTCCTTGGTAATTAAATGAAGTTGGTTATCTGCTTTAAAAGTAAAAAAGCATGTTATATGTGAAGAGAATTCAATTCCATTCAATTCAGATTAAGTAAGTGCCTTTTTTCTTTTTCTTTTTTTTTCATTTGGGGCATTGGGCAGTGTGCTGGACCATGAAAGGGCTTATTAAAGATCAGTAAGATGTGATCTCCACCCATGAGGAACTTTTATTGCTATAATAGTTTTATTTGTATTATTACTATTTCTTTTATTGCGTTATCAGAACACAACTTCTTTTAATAGTTTTTTATATCCCTAAAATTAACCAGCTCTGAAAAATGACTAAGGCAGCTATAAATTTGCAGTTGATCAAGCCATCTTTACATTTCATTCCGAGTGAGTAACTACTACCAAATTAAAAAACCTCAGAAGTTGCTTGATTGGTATAGTCAGTCAGGATTATATTTAGCTGCAAGAAACAGGAAACCCATCTAAAATTTCTTAAACAAGTAAGAGTTGACTTTTTTCACATACAGTTTACTAGAAGTAGATGGTTGTTCTGAGTCAATACCAGTTCACTGACATAAGGACCATATCTCTAATTATCTAGGTTTTCTATCATGTATGTCACCTTATGGTTGCAGTATGGCTGCCACAATTCCAGATAACACATTTATATTCAAGGGAGGAAAAAGAAGAGTGATGCCGGCCATATCTGTTCCTTTTTGTCAGAAAGAATGCTTTGCCGGAAGCCTTCACAGCCAACTTTCACCTACATTTCATTGGCTAGAACTATAACATACGATTCCTCCTACCAGCAAGCAGGGCTGAGACAGGAAGTTTTTTGGTTTTTTTTTTTTTTTCCTTTTTGTCTTATTTATATTCAAGGGAGGAAAAAGAAGAGTGATGCCGGCCATATCTGTTCCTTTTTGTCAGAAAGAATGCTTTGCTGGAAGCCTTCACAGCCAACTTTCACCTACATTTCATTGGCTAGAACTATAACATACGATTCCTCCTACCAGCAAGCAGGGCTGAGACAGGAGGTTTTTTGGGTTTTTTTTTTTTCCTTTTTGTCTTTCTTTGTGACTGGTAATGGGATCACAACCCTCGGTGTCGCGCCCGCACTGTGCTCAACCAGTGAGCGGACCGGTCTTGCTCAACCGGTGAGCTGACCGGTCTCTATATGGGATCCGAACCCTCGGCAGGAGCGCCGCTGCACTCTACCGAGTGCGCCACCGGGCCGGCCCAGCAGGTATTTTATTTGCTCTGAACAAAATAAGAACTGGTTAGCAAGGAAGAAGTAGGGTAGGACTGGCTTTGATACTTTTACTGGTATTTTCTTTAAAAAAAAAAACAAAAACTACTAAACATTAACAAGGAAAGAAAAATAATTTATGGTTAGTTCACCATCATAAGTGAATTTCTGAAGTACAGTATCTGATATATCAGCAAGAGTTACTAGTTTATATTCAAATATGTAGTTGATGAAGTGATTGGACTTCTGCTTTTGATATTATAGTGGAGTAGATACTGTAAGGAGCCACCCCACTGCAAAACATCTAGAACCATCTTGAAACATAATTCCTTTTGCATTTATAAGCTCACTGGAAGGGAGGAGAACCTACAAGGTGGCAGGGTGGGGAGGAAGGGGAGGTGATGGCTTAAAATAAAGCGGTGGCAGTAAGCACCCCTGGAGTGCAAGAGGGCTCTGAGAGCTAGTGCTGTTATTTATATGTGCCTCCATCCCAAAGCTCAAGGAGACCAAACCTTGGGTCACAAGATTTGAGCCTGAGACTTCTGGACTAAGCCAGAGACCCAAAGTGGGCTAAATTTGTGTTAGAGCAGAAGAAACTACTTATCTTCTCTGGAGGAAAGTGTCCTCAATTCAGACCCCAGATTTTTCTCGGATCAAAATAATCAAATATGACCTCACAATCAAAGATCAACAGTGACAAAGTGAAGTAAAATACATGAGTAAGATTCAACAAGAAACAAAAAAACACCTGATTTGAGCCATTAGAACTTCAAGAGTTTGAATTATCAGATAAGGAATATAAATTAACTATATGAAAATATTTATACAAATCAATAATAGTTTCTTGTTTGCTTATTTTTCTACTCTATTAAAAAATACAGAGCAATTTTGAAAAAACTAAATGACACTTTTAGTAGTAAAAATATATAATTGCTGGAATGAAAAAAAATAACATGGAATAAACAGAAATTTAGGCAAATCTGAAGAGAGAATTAGTGATTTGAAAGACAGGCCTGAAAAATTACCCCTAATATATCACAGGGAAATAAAATGGAAAAGAAGAA